TATGTATATATATATATATATATATATATTTATTTATATATATATATATATACATGTTAAAATATATAATACCCTGCAAGCAACCACATACCAGTAAGGGCAACACCCTGTAGTGTCTCGACTTTCTCACATCTGGGCGTGATTGTCATGATCTCTAGTGATAGTCTGTCTACCTGCGTAGTCAGTGGGCATATCACAGTATAACCACCCACAATGAAGCTCTTATCATCTTCAGAACAAAGCCCTCCGGACACGATCAGAGCCTCATTAGGCCCAGCTACATAGCACGACATGATATATTACTAGTGGATTGAAAACGTTTCAAGAAATAAACTAGGACGGGTCTTGGTGTATAGGATGTACAATTTTATAGTCTTAGTACCGCTACTCTTATATTCGACTCGTGTTGTTGTTCGCTAGATTATATATATATATATGTATATACATATATACATATGTATATATATATGTGTGTGTATATATATATATATACTATTACAGGGGACTTGCGAGGCGTTCGCCGAATCATCGTTTCGACCCGTTTCTATAACGATTTGTTTCTTCTCGCCGCTTTCAGCTCATGAAGCGACACTGTTGTAATTTGACATTTAATTTAATACTAGGACACCCTTGTTATTTCATAAATACGTACTGATATAATTTAAAAACGTACAAGTGCGAGGGAATTCATCCAATCAACTGATTGAAAAGGGACGAGGTGAGTTTGAAACCGTACTTTTTCATAGCCTCCGAAATAGCCACTTTTTCTGTTTCCATTCCCTTACACATAAGTAGGCGCGAAAGTTGACGATGTGCATAAAGCCATAGACAAAACTATAGACGAGAGAGTCAGAGAGCCTGAGAGGAAAACAGCAGAAATACATAACCCTCTTTCTATGACTCATATGTACATATACTTTTTTTTGTATCAAAAAAAAGCCTTTCTAAATTACAGGCTATCGCCTATAAGCCTGTCCTATCACTATGACCCTAGTAGTCCTCTACCGAGAGTCTTCTTCTCTATGTATATAGAGCTACATAGAGAAATAAAATAATATGTCTGATCGCCGATCGGACTGGAGTCACTTGGACTATGTAAGTCCCAAGTTGGCCGTGAAAATTTGACTTTTTCAGAGTCTCCAACTCTACTCTCTGCCTCAGTGACTCACAAATTGAAATCACAACTCACAAGTCACAACGTCACAACAAGCCTCGATTCGGTTTGTGAGGAAGCAAACTTTTAACGTATTGAAATCTCACCGAGTACTACATATACGTTTTAGTTTAAAAAAAAAGAAACACAAAGGAAAGGCACACAAATGACAAAACTCAAAAGAAATCGTATAAATTCGTAGTAGCACTTCCCTCATTTCAATTGGTGGAAAATAAATATCTGAATAGCGTTGTAAATTGTTTGTACATTTTCTTTTCATCCGCCATTAATTACCACATATGTAGTCTCCTAATATAAACACAATTACCTTAGCGGCACATACTACGTGACCATATGTAGCCTCTTCTAAATAGACATTAGAATGCTTTGATAAATAGCATCATTAAGCATAGCCTCCATAGAACACATAGCCTCATATGAAGTGTCATTTTTAAGACACTATGTTTCAACTGTATATTGTAAGAAAATAGAGTGCTATGCCGCTATGGCCTATGAGTCTATATTAATTCAACAGATTGTTTTTATCAATATTCATAACTATGTACATACTCGCAGGACATTCATCTTCCCCACAGGAGGCGACAAGCGGACATACTTGTGTTTCGGTATTCAAGCTCGTAGTTTGTATTGGCATTTTTAAACCTGTGGCTGACTTCAAGTGTGGTGTATATTTTATTTCCTTTGAAGTTTA